TAATTGTTTTACTATAATCGGTATGTACAAAATCAGTAATCACGGCCAAATAGTATGCCCCTTCTGTGGTCCCAGTAAAATCGTGGACATTTGCCATGGTCGCGGAGGGATCCTGAACATCTTCTACGTTTGTGGTAATATAGTGAACCTCCAGCGCAATCGTGGAGACATGTTCTTTGTCTCCTCCAATATGGTAGAATCATGGACGACTCCGACGATTCTTATGGCCGCAAAGAAATAGTTTTCATCTTGTGAGAGCGCTGAGACGTCATCGTCCTCTCCTCCGATCTCGGCGGAATCATTAATACCTTCTGTGGCCACGGGGAAAGAGTTAACATCTTATGTGAGTGCGGTAACATCATCTTTGCCTCCTTCGATCACGGCGAATCCATGAACGACTCCTATGGCCGTGGAGAAATAGTTAACATCTTGCACAAAACTCGGAGGCATCATCTTCGTCTCCTTCGATCATGACAAATCTTAAAGATCTTTGAATACCTCGGTCGCGATAAAATCCTGGACATCTTCCCCGATCGCGCGTGAATAAATCAAATCAAATCATGTTTATTAGCACATAAACGTACAGAGGTTACAGATAAATGCACAAGTGCTTCATCATTCTTCTTATAGCCTAATATTATATAATGTCCTTTCTTAAAATGTATTTAGTAATAATAAATAAAATAGTTGTTTAACATTTGAGGAACTCTTTGAATAGACTAGCCAAAAGGTTTAATAAAAAAGATAATGTCAAGCTTAAAACTAAATAACAGGATTTATAGAATTTCATTATAAATAAAACATAAAAAATGTACAAAACATGTAACTTTAGTCAATGACAAGGTCTTAATTAAAATTTCACAACAAAAAACGATATATATAATATGTAACATTTAAAAATCAACAAGATTAACATGGAGAAGGAACTTTTTACCCTATAAAATATTACCTATGGAAGTAACTGACCTGCTTATAACATTTGAGAGTCATTTAGAAAATCGTCAACTTTATAGTAGGCCTTTCTGATCAAAATACTCTTAACGTTATCTGCAAATTGTGCTGGACTCATTGCTGTGTTTTTTGAGTTATTTGGAAGTTTATTGAACAATTTAATTCCCATGTAAGGAATAGGCCTACTTCTTTCTAAAGATGCCGTTGAATGATGAGGGTATATAAGTAAATTCTGGTTTCTAGTATTGTTATTGTGGCTATTTTTTTCTATAGAGCACCAATTTAAATTATTTTTTACATGACACAGAACCTCAAAAATGTAGGTACATGGTACAGTAAGTATTTTTAAACTTTTAAATAGGCTACTTCTTTACATGAGCTTCCAGGCTGTTTGAGGGTCATGGCTCTTAGGAATTTCTTTTGTACTTTCAATACATTTTTTATTAATTTTGTTACGCCGCATAATGATATTCCATATTTCACTAACGGGTAAAAATAGCCATAGTACAAAATAAGTTTTGTTTCCATGCTGGTACAGTCACAGAAAACGTACTACTATAACCCAGAATGCCAACCGCATGGTAAAAAGCATTAAGTGTTTTGAGCAACGCTGGTGGCGCTGCCTACGGATTGACAGGCAAAGCTCTCTCAAAACGCTTAATGCTTTTTACCATGCGGTTGGCATTCTGGGTTATAGTTGTACGTTTTCTGTGGTACAGTGTGCAAGGCAACTCATATTAAAACAAATGCTATTTAATCTCTTACATAATGGTACATAATATGTTCATGCCACTTCAGATTTTCATCACATATTACCCCTAATAATTTCACAGACTTCTGATTCTTCAAATCATCATTGCCGACTGTAACCTTTATTTCACCCTCTCTATATATTGCATACTTCTGAAGTGAATTATATTTGAATGTCTGCATTCAGCAACAGTCCATTTATTCTAAACCAATTTTCTAATTCTTTTATTATTGTCTCTGCTGTAAATTTAATTTTTTCTGTGCTATTATCTCTAATTAATGATGTATTATCATCTGCAAACATTACTATATCTGTCTTTATATTCATTGGAAGATCATTATCATATATTACGAACAAAGCTGGGCCTAAAATTGATCCTTGAGGAACTCCTGACTTTACAGTATCATATTTTGATTCATATTTCATGTTATTTTTAAAAAGAAGTTTTTTTTGCTTTCTATTAGTTAAGTACGATCTAAACCATTTCAAACTGTACCCTCTGATTCCATATACTTCTAATTTTTTTAACAGGACATCATGGTCTACACAATCAAATGCCTTTGCAGGTCACAACAAATTGCTCTAGTCTGTGATATAGTCTGTGATCTGTCCCATGCCCTGTAAATATTGTCAGTTAGAGAGATGAGTGCTGAGTTGGTGGAGTGAGATTTTCTAAAACCATTGTTGACTTTTGGTTATTAATTTATTTTTCTCTAGATATTATAGAGAAAATAATAGTGACAACTCCTTTGTTAACGGCGAAATAGTGTAGATCTCTTGCGGTCGCGATTTCATCAACGTCCCCCTGCGATCGTGGCGAAACAGATAATCAAAATTATCAAGAAAAAATGTTAAGCACCAAGTGAGGTCTCCTCCTTGGCCGTGGCCTCAGCAATCGCCGTGTCCGCCATTAGGGAAATATGGCCCTGGTTATTCTAATAACATATCTATCTACAACGCGTTGCAGGAAAGCCACGCGGACAACGAAAACAAAAACATGTATTGCCGCAGAGCAACAATAACTTCAGAAACAAACTGAATCATTATTAGACTGTTGTTATATAAACGTTTTGAAAAACATTGAGGTCATAAGTCAAGAGAGAAACTCAACTGAGGCCTACTGCAATTACCTGCATGTGGCGGTAGGGGGAATTCTTTTGTGGCAGGAAATTATATCGTGGGAAATCCATGATTGGGCTCTTTGCTCTCATAATATCCAAATATAGCCTAGTTTGATTTCACATTTTGACTTAGGCTAACTTAAGTATCGGTTCTGATCTCACAGTTCGAGTGAGTCATAGTGAGTCAACCTAGTTTAAGTTCAATGGGCCTACAATTTATGTAGTTTTTAAAAATTATTATTTCGTGTGCTTTTAGCGAATTTCCCTATAGGGAAGTAGCTATTAGCGTAGGTGGCATGGTAAAACCTAGGCCCGGGACCGATTTACTTTTTCATTTTGATGTCCCCAGAGGCCAAAAACACCATTCGTTCAAATTTTGTTTATATATGTATATATATATAGGCCTATTTACGTCGTCATATTTACACAAACACGGACACTGACATAAACACACACGTACATTGATTAAAATAAAAGTTGTTCTCCTGCCGGCTCCCGCGACGGTACTAATTAACTGTTCACCACAGGCCTGTGTTCCGTCCACGAGAACCTTTTATTTTAATCAATGTACGTGTGTGTTTATGTCTGTGTCCGTGTTTGTGTAAATATGACGACGTCCAAGAGACCGACTATGACAAGATACTTCTCGACTTGCTAACTACGTGACCATGACGCAACTAGCGTCGAATCCATGGTTGTAGATATTACAACTTTTTATTGAACTGGGACGAAAGTAAAGGTAACTAAACCACTATTATTTTATATTTGTCTTACCAGTTCAGGGGCAAGCCACAACAATGAGTAAAATATTTACAATCCTTGTAGGCCTACCTATTCATATTTGTGGAAACCATCTTGCTTTGATGCGTTATTGTATAATGGCTATTTGCCATAGAAATAAATAAATATGTGTGTCCTCAATTTCCCAAATATTCATGAAATGTGTATGTTAATATTCACCCAATAATTTGATAAACTAAAATATACATAGCCTAGTCACATTCCAATGTTTCTTAAAGAGAAAATAGTAAGTTTAAATTTGTTTACAGTGTAATTATAACTTAAATAGGCCTACCATACCCAAGTATTACCAAGTATTGACCAACCAAAAAATTGGCTATACAAAACTGCTTTACCCCCTCTATTACCGGTGGGACACACGGGAGGGACTAAGGCTAACATATCTTGTAGTGTCAGCGTTCACCGCTAGAACTGCTAAGTTGAAATAATTTAATTTTTTTTAAATTTTTAGTTATAAAATTAACTTTTTAATTATAAAATATTGTTTCAAATTATAAAATAAATTTTTAATTTTTAAAATTAAACTGTCATAACATAACCTAACCAACCAGACTTGCTGATAATATAAAAACTATATAAGATAAAAATCTAATTAATAATTACTTATAATGTTTAATTAATTATGAAATTAATTTTAAAATTTAGTATTATAAAATTAAACTGTCATAACCTAACCTAACCAACCAAACTTGCTGATAAGAAAAATTTGTTGACAAAAAGTTAGTGCTGCCAGCGGGATTCGAACCCAGGACCTCCTGAACACCAATCCGAAACGCTACCAACTATGCCACGAACGCCGCTGAAATCACATCGTTTCGTTACGGTAATCGTGTCGCCTCAAGAGAAGACATTAGCCACTAGAGATATGACGTCACTACACCTTTAGACTTAGTCCCTTCCGTGTGCCCATTCCCCTCTATTACCATTAGGTAGCGGTTTACCCCCACTATTACCTTTCGTACCATGCAGTATTTTCCCCTGAAAATGACAGTTTACGGATCATCAGATACTAATTTCTGATTCAATACCTACTATTATTATCTATTCATAAACCATAATTTTCACCTTTATAATTGCAGTATCGCCTTTAGTGCCAAATGAAACGTAATGTGTGTAACTTATGTGCACTGCATAGTTCAATGCTGCATGTCATAGGCCTACCCACTTTCAGAAGCCACGTAGCTTCAAATGAAACATGATATTTTTGATGTGATGTATAAGATGGATGTGAGTAGGCCTACTTATACCTAACTAGTTAAACATGTCAACTAGACTGAGTTAATAGTTGTCTTGTTTGATTATTATATTTCTTGCTGCAGGCTTACATTATTTTAGCTATATAATTATTTTTACTGATATATTTACATCTTTTTCAGTGCTTTCAATCAACCTCTGCACCGTGGGCTGTTGAGCTGTAATATTCCACAGTTGCAGCTAATGGCAGATAGATTTTCTCTCGATATGCAGTTTCTGGTGAAGACAATGTACCTCCTGAGTGATTACTTGAGGCAGGGGCGCAACATTACACCTCTGCAAGGAGCTATCATGATAGGAAACTTCCGCATATGCAAGCGGCTCATTGCTGAAGGAGCTGATTTCTTCTCATACTCCTACGATCTATTGACTCCGTTAAATATGGCCCTCGATGTTGGGAAGTTCCAAATAGCTAAACTGCTCATCACCTCAGGAGCTGACGTTTGTGTTCTCCAGAACGGATATTTTCCAATGTATTTTGCCATAAAGTCTGATACACCAGAGTACATAATTGAAATGATCATACGCAGAGGTTTCCCTGTGAACGGCGTTGTTGAGAACATGTACAACTCTACAGCTCTTCATAGAGCAGTGTTGTGCAACAATGTTGATGTCACTAATCTCCTCTTGAGGTATGAAGCTGATTGCAATGTGATTGATAACTTTGAAGGTTACGCTCCCATACACATAGCTGTGAAGCAGAAGCAGCCAGAGATTGTCAAGCTGTTAGCCGAACATGGAGCCAACTTAGAGGTAGAGTGTGGAAAAGGATTCACGCCTATTTTTTATGCTGCTGCCAACAATGATGTGAATTGTTTGAATATTCTTTTAGAGTTTGGTGCAGAACCAAATCATTTGTCTACTGTCCATTATATTTACCCGCTACATCATGCTGCATCTCTGTGCAGTGTGGAAGCCACTGATATGTTACTCAAAAGAGGAGCAGATGTCCAATTGAGTACTCCAATCACTAGAGATCTCCCGATCCATAGTGCTGTCATGTCAGAAAAAAGCAAGATATCAGAAGTTTTTGCTCAGGATTTAGCCAATGTCGTCAAACTCCTAATTGAGAATGGATCGCAGATCGATGTTCCCAACAATTATAACCAGACTCCGATGGAATTGGGTATAATCGGACAAACCTTTGAAGCTGTACAAGTGCTTGTAAAAGAGGGAGCTGCAGTCAATAAACCATTGGATTGTGGGACATATTTCCACTTTGTTGCTAGCAAAGGAAACAAAGAAATTGTAACAACGTTTTTGGAACACGGAGCTGACTATTCTTTCTTTGATGTCAACAAAATTACTCCGTACCACACTGCTGCATTCAATCCAGATCTGACCGTCCTGTCTGTGTTTTGGAAATTTCACTGCCCTGTAGACCTCCCCCTTCTCGGTGAAAATTCCAAAAAACCCCTGTTCTCTCCTGCTGCCATTGATCTTCTGGAAAACCAAAAAATGTTCTTGTCCGGTGTAAAGTCGAATGACGTTAATGTTATGATGGATGCCCTCTCTAAAGGTGCTGAAGCCAGAGGTTGCAGTATGAAATTGTCTCATCCTCTTCATGTTGCTGCTAGCAAAGGCTATACCCAAGTTGTAAAACTGTTGCTGGAAAATGGCGTCGCACCAAGCTCCGTGAACAGCAATAATGAAACTCCGCTACATGTTGCGGCAAAAGCAGGTCACTATGATGTTTGCCGTCTCTTGTTGAAGCATGGAGCCGTCTACAACTCTAGGTCTAAAGTGAAGAAAACTCCTTTAGAACTCGCTACAGAGAATAATCATGAGGAGGTTGCACACCTCTTGACTGGAGTTGATATGATCTTCAAAATCGGAAAGGAAAAAAAGGTTTCTCGTAAAATTAAAGAGTTATCCTTTCTCGTCAATGATGATCTGTATTTTGTTTATGTAAACTCTATGAACAGTAGAGGCGAAACTCTATTGAAAGTGGCAATTAAGAAGCAGTTTACTAAACTGACAGATAGGTTAATGAAGTTAAGAGTAACAAGGAAGGATGTATAGTGTTGAAGTTGTGGTGTGTGAGGGAAATGTCCCAAGTTTGTTCAAAAGTTAAAGTTGGTGAGGTAAATATTTCACAGAGTATGGGAGTAAATGGTGATTGTAAAGTATTGTTGCTTTAAATTGGTCATCATACAGTCATCAGTTTGTATTAATCAAATTATTTACAACTAAATAATTTATTTTTATTATTTTATTTTTATTTTTAAAGAATATTGGATGCAGAAATTATATTTACTGCCTGACATTTTCAAGTTTTGTTGAATTACAATTTAAGTAAGTAGGTGTGACATTTAATAAAACTACAAAAATATTTATTTACTGTACGTCAAGCAAGTAACACAAAGCTAAGATATCTGTTTATTTATAATAGATTGAATTTACTATTTTTTATAGTCCCTCCATTATTTTATAACAAAACTTAGTATTAACTGATTAGCAAAAAGTACTTTTGGATCTTGTAGCTTATTTCTGATTGATGCTTTACTGTAATATAAATCTTGCTACGGACATTACAGACATTTTACAGTAACATTCCCATTAAGTTATTGTTTGGAAAAAACATTGATTTTCTCTATCAAAGTGAAACCGTCATAGATTATTGTCAAGCATTACTTAATTTTTTGCATGCAAAAGACAACTATTTAATTATTTTAGTTTTGATTGAACCACAAAGAATCCTCTTAGGAGAAACCATAGTGTAAATTTTCATTCATTTTTTACCATTGAATGGTTATTTTTAGTTTGCAACTATAGTATTTCACTGAGCTTGTTTACCTTTTATAAATAGTGTTTATTTAAATGTCTAAGTTTTGACTTATCTTATTAACAAACTTAAATTTAACTCTGTAATCTTGTTATAGTAAGGTCAAAGTTAAAACTTTTAGGATATTTGTATATAGATAATCATTAAGTTTAGAGTTGCTTTGATGTATCCAGAAAATAAACTAGATACAGTAGCTTTTAAGTGTACAAATTATATTTTTTCCTAGTGTATCATAGATACTGTAGTTAATCTTGTTTTTACTTTTGTTTATATACATACATCATCTACATAGTTAGTAAACCTGATTCTCAGTTTTCACCATTGTGGGGTAAACTACTTAAAAATTACTTGTTACTTTAGAAAATGCTGTTTGTATTTATTTGATACTAAGTTTGGCTATTTAATTTCTGTAGATATTAGACGTACCGACAGTGTTAAACCCGACCAGTGTGATCTTTTTGGTTGTGTATGGCTCAGGTTTTATTTTGTTCAAATTAATTTATTTCAAGATTATTAAGCTGATGCCAGTATTATTTTTTCACGTTTTATGAGGTTTACAAGTTACAAGAAACTGGGCACTTTACTTGATTAGCAGATTCACTCAGCTATTTTGGATCTTATGAATATTTACACCAAATTTGAATTAAACCACACACAAATTTGGTCACTTCACAGTCTGAGGCCACATTAAGTGAACAATCATTTGCCAGAGTCAACAGTTTAAAACCCACACTTACCTACTGAATCTTTAAATTAAATTGTCAATTAAGTACTTTCTTTTGACTCAACAATTGCAAAGTTATTTTTTCTACTATACAAATAAGATTTAAAGATTATAGCATAAGATAAGACTAGATGAGTAAGAATAGCTAGCTAGTTTCAATTGGACTTAAAATTTTACTATGGATCTGTATTGTTATATTTTACAAAATATATTGTTTTATAAGATTTCTCCTTACTTATAAGATCATTCTTACTGTACTATTGTACCAAATTTACTACTTAAGTTCTGATTAATGATTAAAGTTTCTAAAAACATTATATGTTTGATATTTATCCTCTTCTAAACAATATGTTTAAGCGGTGCTCGATTTGTAAAAAATAATTAAGGTGTTGGAACTCAGCAACCTATTTAAAGTTAATAACCTATTTAATGTGATTAGTATCTATTTATGTCAATATTTTATGTTTCCGAAAAGGAGGTAAGTTTATCAAATGACGGAGTACTGACATCCAGGAAACTTCAACCCAGCATCGAAATTATAATGGATAAAATTTGCTGAATGTTGATTCGTTAATACAATAGCCAGTAAGATTTAGATCTCAATTGTCCAATACAATTTTTAAAAATATCTCTCGTGACAACACAAATATTCTGGAGGTTTTCACTTAACATATTTAACCCCCTTACTGTATACAGGGTGTAGAAAAATGCAATAGACCAATGTTTTTTTAATTTTTTATCAAACATCTTAATTTTTATCTTTGAATCTATTTACAATGGAGTATTTACAACTGATCCTCGTGTAATTTTCTATTATTCTTAGTCAAAATTTAATGTAGAACACGAAATTGACATCATCTACTCAAATCCATACACAGGTAATTGAGAAATTGCTGTATTAAGTTTGAAAACATAAAATAATAACAATTTTAACAATTATAAAAATACCAAACAGCACAAACACTACGTGCAACGGCATCTTTGGTCCTTACTGTACGGCATCTCTGTGGATGCTTATTGTCAACTGGTGTGTGGGTAGTGTGAAACCGATTCACCAAAGTTCGAATACCTCACTCTGATGGACGATTATGTGGTCCGTAGAGCGGACAAAGTGCACTGTAAGTTGACTGAACTGAACAAAATAAACTTGCACAATTCGCAAACGTTCCTCTTTTGTAAGTCTATTCATGGTTAGTTTACTATGGAAACAGAATAAGAACAAGACAATACAAATATTGAAATGACATAAGATAATAACAAAAATGAGCTGTTTGATTTTAATTTGATTGTTGTGTTTTTTAGCAATGCTACCAACGTAAAAACCACACAACTAGAAAAATACCGGTAATCACTCTTTACATTAAGCAAAAAAATAAGTGGGGGAACTTCCCCTCAAGCCGCCTAGCTGTAAGGATATGAGCTGTATTTGCATGCTTAGAGATGAAAATGGCTTTACGAATAAAATTTATTTGTAAGCAACAGACATGTCACTTAATTTGATTCATAGGCCTAACTTGCCAGTTTTAGCGAATTTCCCTATGGGGAAGTAGCTATTACCGTAGGTAGCACGGTAAGACCTAGGCCCGGGACCGATTTACTTTTTCATTTTGATGTCCCCCACAGGCCAAAAACACTATTCGTTCAAATTTGTATATATGTCCGTAAACGTGATAACTTGAGTAATTTTTGTCCGATTTTGATGAAATTTAGTTTGAAGGTGTAAGGCGGGATACACTTGAATGAGTTCGCTGACCAGCATGATTGGACCATGGGAACAGTGTTTTATGGTGTAAAAAATGGTTTTTCTCATTTTTGACCCTCAAAACACAAAATTTCTCAATTTCTCTCTAGACCTTGTTAAAGGGCTTAAAAACAAATAATTTAGTATATCAAAATGTTTTTATAGGGTTATTGGTAAAGGAGAAAATTCTAATTCTAAAAATTGTAAATTTAAGATTCCCATGTTATTTTTATGGAGAATATTGTAAAATAATGTAGTTTGCTTGTTTATTGATATATTTGGATTAAACTTGGCCAATTTATTTATTTTAATTATTAATATTTTACTATAAAAACTCGCTTATTTAGTTTCCTTGTCGCAGCAAACCTAGGTACTCGTTAAACCTAATGTTATTTAAATAGATTTGAAAATCAGTTCAGACAAATATATAAATTCGCTTAGTCGGCAGGTATGCTGCGGCGGGGGTATTATAAAATACTAGCAGAGTGGGTATTCTTTGTACGGGGTTGGCGTATAAGTATAAAATGCTTATTGCAGTTATACTCATGCTTTGCATTTGCAATGGGTAAGGATACGGTTTGAGAAAATTTTGTTTGTTAAATTTACGGTATGCTATAGTATAACACATCTACCATAGCCATAATGTTCTAACAATAGAAAATACCCCTGCCGCAGCAAACCTTCCAACTAAGCAAATTCCCATTTCTCTGAATTGATATTTAATCAAATCTATTTAAATACAGTAGACTCCCTCTTATCCGGACACTTTTTAACCGGATTAGATCGACAGGAAGTGGCCAAGTGGGAGTGGGCGGTATTGAAATGACTTCTCGTGGGAAAGATTTGAGACCAGTGATCACGTGTCTATACTTGAATAGATACAACTTCCGTATCGGCGTGGTGGGGCGATCTGACGTTCGAGTAAGAGGGAGAACTGCCAGGTTGACTACCTGACCAAAAAGAGCAAGGAGAGCCTGACGCGGTTTCCATAGCAACAGGCGCTGTTGCCATATCGCACTGTATCTCCACGCCCGCACGCACATGTGCAGTTCCTCCAGTGTTATGACAGTGACTACTTCGAGTACAGGTGGCTGTGGTACAGTATACTGTCCGCGAGGGTTTAGAAGTCTGAAGTCCCCTAAGCTAAAAAAATCGTTTTGATGTTGGAATAGTCGTCACATGTGTATTTCACAGTATATTTTGGGTTTACAACAGAAATGTTGTTTCTCACCAGAAGTCAGTAAATATCAAAGAGTGTTCCAAACATAGGGAATAATTTATTTTGGAACAATTTTTCTGTAGGCCTACTTCTTCGCTGTTCTGTTTACAACACTTCCCTATCAGCAGATGTTCTCTAACTATCAACAGATAACACAAAATTACAGCACAGCACACAGTGTAACGTTGCATGCGTTGTAAGCTGGTGCTGGCGCGCATATTCTGTGAGGAAGTGGCAGTTCCCGCTCACTGCGACTAACAACGCGGCAACACCGCAACAGCAGTCTCCCCACTGCTTGCTACCCCTCCACACCTCTCCGATTCGGAAGTTGTATCTATTACAGTATGATTACAATACTCTCCTAAATTTAAGTCAAATACTGTATACAGTATGCATTTAAACGGTCTGTTTTAATGAGTTTTTGGGGACATCGGTTTAACCAGAAAAACCGTTATCTGGACTGGCCTTGGTTTGAGGAGTCCGTATAAGAGGGAGTCTAGTGTAACATTAGGTTTAATGAGTACCTAGGTTTGCTGCTACAAGGAAACTAATAAAGTGTGTTTTTATTAAAATATTAAAAGCTTAGTATATAAAATAAATAAATTTGATCCAAATATATCAATAAATAAGCAAAATACAACATTTTACATTAATAATTCTCCATAAGAATAACATGGGAATTTTAAATTTATAATTTTTTTAGATTTTCTCCGTTAACCACACAAAAACACTTTGATTATATACTAATTTTTTTTACAATCTTTAAAAAGGTCTAGAGATAAATCGGGAAATTTTGTGATTTGAGGGTCAAAAGTAAGAAAAACAATTTTTTACCCCATAAAAGCTTATGCTTCCTAATCATGCTGGTTTGCAAACTCATTCAAGTTTATCCCGCCTTACGCCTTCAGACCAAGTTTCATCAAGATCAGACAAAAATTACTCTAGTTATCGCGTTCACGGACGTATTATAGGCCTACATACAAAAATTTGCACGAATGGTGTTTTTGGCCTCTGGGGACATAAAAATGGAAAAGTAAATCAGTCCCGGGGTTAGGTCTTACCATGCCACCTACGGTAATAGCTACTTCCCTATAGGGAAATTCGCTAAAAGTAAATTATCAAATCTTCATAAAAAACTGGAATGAATATAATTTAAAAAAAAATTTATTAATTATAAAATATTTGCACAATATCGCAAATTATTAATTAAATTAAAAACTACGCATATGTTTTTAGTTTAATTAATATTTAAACACTAAGCAATCCTACTTTGACAATCTTTATTGTGTATCACAGCTTTTTGTTGCTGCTTAGTTCAAATTAGCTGTTGTCATAAAATTATAAAAAAAATTAATAGTGCTGCACCCTGTTGGTAAACCATATTATGTACTTATAATGGTATAGAATATCTAAGAACCAACTGGTTTAGTTGAAACAACTGACTAAATTCTTTTATCTATCTATATATTAATAGGCAAGCATGTTTCTTTAAAACCTTTTTTCTCAGCTCGTGTGCATCGTAGGGAAAATCTACGCATACCGTTGGAAAGCTATTTTCCTGTAGGTGTGCAGAATCCCTTTATAAATTTAAATAGGCTCAAAGATAAGCACAAAAAATGAGTTTAAAAATTTGAAAAAATTAACATGGATCTTATGCGTTGCTATGCTGGTTACGAAATAACAACGAAATATAAACAGAAAATCAAAACAAATGGAGGAAACTCCAATCACATGTTTTATTTACAGTGTGGGGTGAAAATAGATGAGTGAGTACATTACATATTTTTGGTCGAGTTTCGACCACTGGACGACCTCTCGTTCCTTTTAAATATGAATACTCATAAGGTTAACATAGGAAACTCCAGAGCTACTGGGGCGGAGCCCGAAAGGATTTTTGTGATAAGAATATGTCTATAAGGTAATCGGAAATGTAAGCTATTATCATGCCAAATTTCAACCTGATCCGACCAGTAGTTAATGTGTGATTGAACTTCAAACAAACAAATACACAAACTTTCACATTTAGTATGATTATACTAAGGGTAGGAGAGGATTTGAAAAGAAACAGTAGAAACTAATAAATATAAAATATATTCAGTCTTAACATATTCGATCAGGTCATGGTAACTATTATAAAATGAAGAATCCTTTTCGATCTAATAAAACAAACAATTTACAGCATGTGAACATAAAACAATACACAACTGAAGGAGCCAAAGAAAGCTCTTCTGGATGAAATTCACAAATTTGGCAACAATAAGAAATTCGGTTATAATGTATGTTTTTATTAGGTACTGTACTTTCATGTTTTAGTGAATAATTTCTTTACAATCCAAGAGTGCATGTCATGGATGTAAAATTTAAATTAGACAACCTGATTCAAAACACTTATGTATTGTAAACAAATACCCGAACGAAGCAATGCTACAACCCATAATCTATAACACAATACAATCTTAACAAAGTAACATAAATAATTGCACTACAGTAGGCTACTTCTTTCACTCTATATCCCATGCAGATTCAGTAACCAAGGATGGGTATGTTTTGTAATTGTACATGTAACAACTTAAATAAATATAGTAGGCTACTAAAGGACTCTGCAATATATAAGGCTGTAGTGAACTGTTAGCTTTTTTGGTAGCTCAGGAGATGTATAGAATTCACAATGAGCAATAAACTACAGTAGTCACATTAAGTCTGGGCGCGCAGCCACGCTAGGGCCCCGGGGGTAGGGGGGAGTGTTTATTGCTCTTTTCCAAAACCATCTGGCCCACACGGCTCTGGGGTTGTTCAGCTGTCTTCATGGCTAGGCAAGGTGGAGGGAATGGGTTACCTGTATACAGGACGGCTAGTAGAGACAGAACCGCGCGCCCAGACTGCTTGCGCTTACTGTACAACTAGTGTTGGTTTATTATTTAAATCAAAGTCAACCTTTAACAATAGCTGTTTACTTAATTAATGTAATACACTTTTTTTATTTGACCTTATAACTACCAAAAATTCCACAATATATTTTATGTAGGCTAGATATCAACTTACTTAAAAAAATAAAATAAAACTGTTCAAATTTATAGTCAGATTTTTAAAAGTACCACAAATCATGTAAAATGTATCTTTAACTGATATGTATAAAAATATAGAAGAGCTGTCTGTTTTAAAGTTTGCATCGAGCAACTTTAAATCTGAGACCAAAGCCGTGTTCAATAACACGTTCGCTGCTACGGATTTCAGTGGGGCCACGGCGCCAGGAGCTAGGAACGTTCCGGAACGTCACCGTTCATTGTTGTTTCCATGGAATTTTGACCTTCCATCCCATCGGCTCAGTAAGACTGCAAACAGTTTCCCCACTATAGCCATAAAGCTGTATAATAGTCTCAGTGTTGAGATCAGAGGCCTGCCAGTGAAAGCGTTCGTAGCGCACATGTCTAGGGAGTTGAAGACCAGGCCCCTTTACTCCATCAGGGAATTTTTTGAAACCCCTGACTCAGTTTGGACATCATGATCCACCGCCTTCTAAATAGTGTATATAGACAAAGTTTTAATTTTTTCATTTAACGCAATCTATCCAGCTATGGCTGGGCAACGATGAATAACCGGTAAAGGTAAAGGTATTTATAGATTTAATTTCAAATCAATTCACGCAAATGGAAATTCACTTAGTCTGCAGGTTTGCTGCGGCGGGGGTATTTTATTTACAGTTGTTTTATATATATATTTTGTTTGTTTAAAACAATGAGAAGAGCCAGTAGTAGTAAGGATTTTAAGTTAAAAGTGATTTTAACGAAAGTGCGTAGAAGCCTAAGTAGATACTTGCACAATACTTTGGTACATATCTGTCAGCAGCGGGTGTTCATCAGATTCCATCGTGACAGAGATTGAATTGGAGGAACTTTGCTTGCAGATCATACAATTAAAAAGTCCTTATTAGTTGGATAATCTTTCTTGTCCAGTCACAAAATTATTCGGACGCAAAATTGCCCTACCTTGGTCAAATTAACAACAGTTATCAGCCTACGCCATGAAAATGATCGTACAAACATTTAATACCACCTGCGAACCCTCTTGAGCACATTTTCTACATCCAAATACTTCTAATACAGCTAAATTCAAATAAATCAAATATTATTGGTTTTATACAGTGGTTGTTAACTGAGACCACAAAAAAAATAAATTACAGAATGAAATTTATCCTTGGCGGGAGCGCCAATTTTCCATAACCATAATGTTTTTAAGTACTATGATCACACTGTGAGAATAATATACTATTGCATATAAAACCTAATTCAATATTTTTACTGAGTTATGGTAGAGCATCAAAGTAGTCCTTGACGGACGGGTAGGCGCTACCCCCAAAGTTGTCTGCTACTTGGATTTGGCCAATCTTCAATTTCCCAACTTGCCAGTGGTGTTCTGAAATTTTTTAACATATCAAATCAGTCTAAAAGAATGTTAAAACGTTTTGATTAATGGATTGTGAATATTACCTGGATTGTGCATGTTATTGAATTGATGTTTTTACACCACAGCTATCAACTAGTGGAGAAAATAAAATCATATAAACAAAGCCATAGATTAAATATACTCACTAATAGATTTGTCGTCCTAATAGACCAGATATAGTATAGATATTGATTTTGTTTGATATGTAGATTGTATTATACTGTATAGATTACATACTATGTACATGTTACTATGTTACATATTATTATGTAGATTGTATTTGCTTTTTTACCAACTTAAAGAATGTTGATCAAATAAAAAGATAATTTGCAAACTGTTACATGCCTTCAGGTATTGTAACCCAAGAGTAATGCACACACAAATATATGTATTCTCAGTGTTGGGGAAGCTACTTTTAAAATGTAGCTACAATTTTAGCTACTTTTCCAAAGACGTTACTTTTATTCCAAGCACATTAGGTAAATGTAAAATTAATTGCAACTATATAAACCTAACATTACAACAACAGAACCAAAATAAGTTAGTTGGGTGTTCCATCATATTTATTACTTATTTTTAAATATTGCATTATTTTTAAGCATCTTATATGTAAATTTCATTAAGTTCAAAGGACATGCAACCAAACTATATTTTAATAGTCCATTTCATTTCTTTAAAATACATTCATTAATAGATGTCTTTTATCAACTATTAAAAACAATAAAACTGTAAAACGATTATTTAAAAATACTTTTTCGTGTTACAGAGCCTAGCCCACTGAAATTAGAGTTTATTGCCTTTCTTTATTTTTAATGTTAACCCTCCGAGTGTCACGTGTTTTGGCCTTAATGTCAGCCTATTTTTTGCTCATTTGCAAGATTTTATTAAAACTGATCTGAGAAGCTTAAAAACAATGTTAATTATACTGTTCTATATACCATTTTGTTTGGAAAATCTTGGGCTTCAATATTATATATAAAACATAAGGAAGATTTTTTTAAAAAAATTTTTTTAGGTAAAAAAAATGTATAATTTCGAAAATTTAAAAAAAAAAATAAGTTTGCGCTCAATGAAATTGTATAAATTATAGGCCTATAAATATTTGAAAATAGCCACTTTGTTCTAAATATTATGAGGATTACAAATATATGATAATATAAGGAAGTAGATTTGCAAATAAATAAGTTATGGGCAAAAATCAGATTTCAGTACATAGCGTTTAGCTAAGAATGCATAGCCCAACCATAGCTAGGAATCTGGCTGATAATTTACATCAATATCACTACCTACTTCTTCAGGATCATCAACCAGCACTTCAAAACCACTTAAATCTTCTTATAATGCACCACGTATATCACTACTTTTGATTTTTAACACTAAAACAATGATAAATGTAATAAAACACATCAGTCATCGGTCCGAGGGTAACCTAGCTGTTTACAAATACACGCACGTCAGCTCAGTCAGCTGTCTGCTACAATATTTTCGGAACTAAAATGAATAGTGCTTAGAGACAGACCTAGGAGAAAGCTTAGAATATTACGGAAAGAACGATACCTAACTCAATCCAGTACAGTCCGATTCAGTTAGTCATAGAGCCTTCGCCGTAAACAGTGTTCGCGAGTCGCTGTAGCGACGCACGACACTATACAAAGTGCGTTACGCGTCGCTGCAGCGACGCATGACACTCGGAGGGTTAAAAACTACATTGCTATAACTTTTAACCATAGTAATATGTTACTTGTTCTATGAATAACACTTTTCAATGTCAATAAATCGTCCTTTGTCATTATGCATAGGTCAACAAATTGTGCTTCAACAAACGTTGGTGCAGAAAACAGTATTCAGCAACCTATCCTGAAATCGGCTTTTAATTTAAACATAATGAAAATTGTTAAGTAAAAATAAGATTTAGGCATACTTGGCTTTGTAACAAAAGTTGGCTATAGTAGACTTGTTCTTACAAGGACTAAACAGATATATCCCTATTAATTGAACTTGGTATTCATATTAATCCAATAGCATACCAATACAATAGGAATAGTCCTTGACAAGAGCTGTTAGCAGGAGCAAACTACTGTATGCTACTTTTTCAATGCAAGTTTCATGTTATATGGAGATTTTTTCGTCACAATTATTATGTATTCTAGGCATATCTTAAATCTCATCAGGAAATTTCCTCTTCGTTCATTTAGAAAATCTTTGTAATCTAACCAAAGAAGGGCTTGTGATGATAAACCACAATCAACAGCTGAAGCAAAGGTTGATAGACCAGCTTTCTCATTATTCTAATGTTTAGTGTTGGTTTCCATTAAAACCCAAGTTTAAACTAAATTGATATAATAAAGAAACTTAATTGATTACTAATTTCCCTGTCATTCACTTGCAAGCATTTAATAGCTTCTCTTGTCACCGGTAACTTTCAAACGTCGTCTGCATCTAGCGATTTTATTTTATCTGACAGTAATCATAGAGTAGGAATTGAGAGCCAAAAATGTGGATAACACTAAGATAATGGCCTCCATGTCCACGCAACGTTGTAATAGGTAATGAACGACTGTGACCAGCTGTATGAAGCCAAGAAAGTAGGCCTAATTTTCTTGAAAATCTCAGTTTGAAAAAGGTTGTTTCACGTAAGGTTGTGATAAAAATCACTATCTCAACCAATGTTAATGTAGCGAGAAAAGTAGCTAAAATTCCGCTACAACTACTTTAAAAATGTAGCGAGCTACAGCTAAAGCTAAAAGTAGTGTAGCTACAGCTAATGCTACTTCCCAACACTGTGTATTCTAAAAAAGTACATTTATCTATTAGCAAGGTCTTACCTTCTGGCCAAGAGCTCATGACTGGGTGACGTTGAAAAAGGTAGGCTTTGGCTAATTGCCACTCTTTACTGCTAGGATCGAGCTAAAAGCACAACAGTTACATGAGAATAACAAACTAAATCTACGGAATTTTCTTCTAAACAATTAAGCACATGACGTTCCAATATACTAAATTATTTGTTTTTTTTTTAACCCTACAAAACGGTTTTGAAAGAAATTGCTAAATTTTATGTTTTTTTTTTGGTCAAAAATGGGAAAAATCCATTTTTACCCCATAAAACTCCCCAATAAGCCCCGTTCCTATTCCCATAGTCCGATCATGCTGGCTAGCGAACTCGTTAAAATAAATGTAGGTTTACACGTTTATATAAAATTTCATCAAAATCGGATAACTCTTGCTGAGTTATCATGTTAACGGACACATATGCAACCAAATCATTTATGCTACAAAACACCATTTGTAAGGTTGTCGTACGGAAAATAGGCTTACATATGTCTAGATACCTTATTCTATCTAGCAAAATTGAGAAAGAAATCACTTTAGGCTTTTAAATAATTGTCAATCAGGGAATATCAGTTAACAGTGGTTCTGTTAGTTAAAGGGTTCTTTTGTTGAAGGTATAAAAAATAATCATGATATGATAATAATGAGTTCCAAAACATTATTGAACTGTTGCTTAAGGTCCAGGAGTGATACGTGCTGCCAGGTGCTTAAGTAAAATCAATACCAAAAACAATGAACAATATTATATTACAGCAATGTAATTGGAGTGTTTGGCTTCATTAGAATCCAGGAATTGAGTTACACTATAATTTTGGTACCAATGTTACTTCAGATATTTGACTTTCAGCAACATTTACACAGTATAGAGTATATAGGCCTTCTGATTGTTAAAACTGAACAGATGTGTTATTTTTTATACTACTAAGCTGAATATTTGTTTTTGAGTGAGATTAGGTTTTCTTATCCTACTAATATTATAAACTAGCAGAGTGCCGTCCTTCGTACGGGGTAGGCATATAAGTATGAAATGCTTATTGCAGTGTGCTCAAGCTTTGCGTTTGCAATGGGGGAGGAGACAGCTTGATAAAATTTGGTTCTTTAAATTTACGGTATACTATGGTATTACACATCTATTATAGCCATAATTGTGGCTATGGTAGATGTGTAATACCATACAAATCTACCATAGCCACAATGTTCTACCACTTCACCTAAACAATAGAAAAAACTGAATTATTAAAAATTCGCAAATTGTCACTAATCATTCATGAAATTAATAACATAAACATAGCTGTTAACAATCCTACTCTGATAGTTCTCATTGCGTATCACAGTTTTTTTGTTGCTGCTTAGTTCAAATTAGCTGTTCTCATAAATGCAAACAAAATAATAGTGCTGCTCTCTTTTGGTAAATCTTATCACTTTTTAATGCTTTTGCATATCATAGAACCAACTTTTTTAGTTGAAACAGCTGACTAAATTCTTTAATTCCCTTTAAATATGAATACTCATAAGGTTAACATGGGGAACTACAGAGCCACTGGGGCGGAGCTGAAAGGATTTTTGAGATAAGAATATGCCTATATGTTAATCGGGAATGTGAGCTATCATCATGCCAAATTTCAGCCCAATCCGTCCAGTAGTTAATGCGTGATTTCAAATCCTACTACTAATATTATAAATGAGAAAGTTTGGATGTATGGATGGATGTATGGGTGTATGGATGTATGTTTGTGACAAGTGAACGCGAAAAATACTGGTCGGATTGGGCTGAAATTTGGCATGATGATAGCTCACATTCCCGATTAACATATAGGCATATTCTTATTTCAAAAATCCTTTTGGGCTCCGCCCCAGTGGCTCTGGAGTTTCCCATGTTAACCTTATGAGAAATGGTAATGAATCTTAACAGCTGTTTCAATTAAACAAGTTGGTTCTGTTCTATGATGTTCAATAGCATTAAAGTTACAAGGATTACCAACAGGGTGCAGCACTATTATTCCTTTTACATTTATGACAACAGCTAATTTGCAACCAAAAGGTGAGTGAGCGTAGCGAACGAACTTCAACCTGGAGGCGAGTTAGCGTAGCAAACGAGCTAACCTGAAGGGAAGTGAGCGCAGCGAACGAGCTCCAACCTAAAGGTGAGTGAGCGTAGCGAACGAGCTCCAAACTAAAGGTGAGTGAGCGTAGCGAACGAGCTCCAACCTAAAGGTGAGTGAGCGTAGCGAACGAGCTCCAACCTAAAGGTGAGTGAGCGTAGCGAACAAACTTCAACCAGGACGTGATTGAGCCATGCGAACGAGATAATCTTGAAAATTAAGAAGTTAAACGGGGCAAAGCCCACGGGTTACAGCTAGTTTATAATAATAGTAAGATGAGAAAGTTTGGATGTATGGATGTATGTTTGTGACAAGTAAACGCGAAAAATACTGGTCGGATTGGGCTGAAATTTGGCATGATGATAGCTCACATTCCCGATTAACATATAGGCATATTCTTATCTCAAAAATCCTTTCGGGCTCCGCCTCAGTGGCTCTGCAGTTCCCCATGTTAACCTTAGTATTCATGTTTTAAAGGAATTAAAGAATTTAGCCAGCTGTTTCAACTAAAAGAGTTGGTTCTATGATGCAAAATCATTAAAAATGTATAAGATTTACCAACAGGGTGCAGCACTATTTTTTTTCATTATTTATGAAAACAGCTAATTCGACCTAAGCAGCAACAAAAAACTGTGATTATGTTTATGTTAAATGAATAATTTGTGATATTTTGCGAATTTTTAATAATCAATCTTTCTCTATTGTGTAGGTGAAGTGGTAGAACATTATGGCTATAATAGATGTGTAATACCATAGCATACCGTAAATTTGAGGAAGCAAATTTTCTCATACCGTGTTTTCTCATATTGCAAACGCAAAGATCGCGTATAACTGCAATAAGCATTTTATACTTTTTTGCCAACCCCATACGAAGGATCATTTTTTAACACTGATTTTTTTTTGTTTATTTAAAAACTTAAAATGGAACCTCTAAACATGCATAGGAGGCCCTATATTTGATCTTTTGTATGTACAGTCTTATCCGGACACCTTTTAACCGGACAACGGTTAAACCGGACTACTTACTTACTTATTTACTTCCGCAGCTCTACAGGCCTTGGTAGCCTTTGGCTTCTGCTACAATTCGCCTCCAATCGCCTCGATCTTGCACCATCTCTTTCCAATTCCTCACTCTCAACATCCTCGGGTCATCAGGTTTAACCGGTTCACTTCATCAAGCCATCTTCTTCTCGGCCTACCCCTTCTCCTAGTCCCTTCCATGTTCTGGCACAATAGTTCTTTGGGCTGTCTTCCTTGAGGCATTCTCTCCACATGGCCTAACCAACCGATCCTTCTTAACCGGACTACACTCGGCGGAAATGACATCTCTTTAACCGGAAAATTTTTAACAGTACATTGGTTTAACCGGACTACATCGGAAGGAATTGGGCGGTACTGAAACGATGAATGTTCTCGTGGGAACGATTTGAAACAAGTGATCACATGTCTAAATACGTAATAATCATTATTGGCTTATACAGTATGCATTTAAATGGTCCATTTTAACGAGTTTTTGGGACGTCGATTCAACCGGAAAAACCGTTATCCGGACTGGCCTTGTTCCCGAGGAGTCTGGATAAGAGGGAGTCTACTGTAGCATAAATCACTAATTTGATCTAACTCTAAGTGTCAATGTTATAAAATTATAAACTAATCAATGTCTTTGATTTTCTGTAACTGATTGTACAAATTGTAAAATGTTTGTAAAAGAGAAAATAAATTCATTATTTCAGTAGTAAATCTCACTATCAGTTTGTATAGAGTAGGTAACAAAGATTACTGTATCAACTTACAAAGATAAACTTGCCAGTGAGAATAACTTGAGCACAGCGAGGATCTTCAGGGTCAAGACTTTCCTTACGACAATAATTCCCCTCAGCTAGAGACATGGTCACCGAACACTTGCTATCCGTCTGAAGCAACAAAATACAAAAATAAAGCAAGGCCAATTAGGTAGCTAAATGTAGGGTTAGGGTATAGGGTCGCTTGGAAACAAGAGGGGTTTCCTTTCCTGCCAAAACATAAAGAAGGCCTATTTAAAACACTTAATAATACAAATAGTTCAACGATTTACATTAAAATGTATATTCTTCACAACAGTGAAAATTACCTCTATAAAAACCAAAAATTTATTCTCAGTGACATATTAAATTGATTAGTCAATTAATTTCTCATGTACCCCATACATCTAAGTCATTGATGTGAGCATCCATCTTGCTGACATAAAAGTAAGGCATGCCTGTAGTCGTGTCGTAGAATCCATCTGCGGTGGAATAAACCCTTGCCACGGGAAAACCTGAGGTGTTGGAGTGATGAGAAATGTGAGCCAACGCACACCAATCTGGAAACATGTAAATCACTCAACCATTTCACTAAGACAAGGATGTACTATATGTATGTATTTGACAGTGAATATGAATAGATTGGTTGCTCTTTGTAGCTTTTTTACTGAACTGGTACCTAACTAAGATGATCTGTTTGTTTAACCAGGATGATTAATCAACATCCATTTCTGTTGTTTTTTGCCTCCTGATCACAAATTTAAATTAATCTAGAGGTTAAAATACCTTAATCCGTCAAAGTGATCAGACGTCACCGATGAGCGGCGACCGGTTTCAGCCCAGCTGTGGGGCCATCTTCAGGCGATGAAGGAACATAAATATCACTCCGAAGAGGTCGTCATACAATCCATAAATACGTCACGAGAAACAACACATAGATACATTATTTACAAACACACGTGTGGCCACAAATTAACTGCGCGGCGGACGGTACGCGTACATTAAGTTGCTAGTCCAGAACATCAACATCCAGAATCAACATCCCTATGTTCAAGGATAGATGGGTTTAGTTTTAAACTGTTAAACCATCAAAATACAATTATCTTTTCTCAGGATCAAACCAAAGGCTGCTCATAAGGAAGGCGCCATCGATATATAGTCTAATTAGATCGCGCTCGGCTGGTAGGTCAGTGACGTTTGCCACAGCCGCACTGCTCCCCCTCCACCACTCGTGGGTAACAGAGTGGCCCATGGCATTGAAGTAGCATTGTAACTTCTTCATAAGACAAAGAAGAAGAGATATTTCACTTTGTGTATGAGAAATATTTTATTTGGCAAATTTAATGGTATAGGTTGTATCATTAGGCTACTTATGATTTTGGAAATCCATGGTCCAATGAAAAATTCATGCATAATTCATGTTTTTTCATGGTTACAATACAGTAATTCAGGCATAATTCAAGGTTTTCATGGCTAGTGGCAACCCTATGAGTACATCTCGTGAAATCTAAGCTGGCACTTGGCCTAGCGCGGGCAGTGTATGAGGGAGGTAGGGATTTCCGCTGCCTCACATGGTTTACTCCCCTTGTATTATGTACTTGAGCACCTTCATATGGGTCGCGAGGACAGTTGATGCAACCGGCATGACAGGATATAATGTTTTTGAACTAGATACTAGTAGCGATCGGCCAAGTACCAGCTTAGATGTCACGAGCTTTACTGCATGATATATGTCTGTGATTACAATACTACTTCAATGCTGTGGTGCACTCGGTTTCCACAATTTGAGGCACGGTATTCCCGTGCCAGGGCGCGATCCAGTTAGACTAAATAAATCGTTGGATAGCACTATAACAAGGGCCGGTTTAACCCATACGCGAAATATGCGGCCGCATATGGCGCCACAAAAAAGTGGCGCCGTGGCGCCAACAGAACAATTGTTTTTACGTGAACAACGTAATTTTGTTTATTTTCGCTCAGAGTTCAAGTATACCACAATAAAAGCATTTATTCTGTTTGTACCAACAGCACTTGAAAATGTGTATATTTGTACAGCACTACAACTCAAGGACTCAATGCCATTTGCAGTTTCGATTGATTTTGTAGTGAGCTGACGCTCGGCAGCGTACGGCGCGGCGCTTGTGGGTTTCATTTCACGACTCACTCATGCTTCCTAGAGCAGAGCACTACGTTGTATTGCTCTCTTTTAGTGTATTAGCGTATTAGCGTGAATCGGTATCGTAATGGCGTTGTTTTGATGATTCGTGATTGTTGATAAGTGAATGATTACGAGTGTTTTTTAAGTTTAATTTATAATTAGCGCATTAAATAAGAAGAAAGTATAAACTGAATAAATGAGTAAAACATCTAGCGAGCCGATACTAAGAAAACAATGGCAGAAAAAAAGAAAACGTCTGGCACTTATTATAAAAAGGGTAAGGCGAATTTGGAAGAGGCTGATAAAAAACAAGCCAAATCAATGAGTAGATTTTTGTTTAAATCATCTGGTGGCGAGTCCAGTCAGTCCAAAGAAGTCACGATAGAAGACGCCAATGACGTAGGTATTTATTTATTTATTTTCCAAGGAAAGATTAAAACAAGCAGCTGATCAGAAATGGTAAACATTGCGTCATTGCCGTCTTCTATCGTGACGTCATGCTTGACGAGCATTACGGATTACGGCCTGTTTTTTTAGTGTGGCCTTGGTTTTGCTTAAGTATGATAAGTAAAAGTGTAAAAATGTTAAATTTCTGCGAATAATAAACAGTCTTATTGCAAGTATTCTTCTAACCTAAACTTATAAAAAAGTTCTTCCCAAAATTATTGGGAAAAAATTCACAAATACGGTTATGTTATGTTATTGGTTTGTGGGGGGGGGGGGGTGGGGGGGGGGGGTGGTGGGGGGAATCCTAAGTGGCGCTGATTCGGGTGTTCGCTTAACTCTGAAAAATTTCTAGAACCGGCCCTGACTATACCCATTTATACCCAGCTAATATAAGAAGGGTAAATTATATTGTGCATGGACAATAAAGCAAAATTGGCCTTCTATAGGAACAAAAAAAAAATCCTTGTTTGGATGTCAAATATAAGTTTTGTTTCAAACAAATACAGTAATTTCATTCCGTAAAAACAATAGTTTTGGAATCTTTATAGTAGTCATAATAATACTAAGAAAATTACAAATTCTTCCTTATTAAGGATCTTGAATTGAGAAATTTTCCAATAAATTATGTTGTCTTATCTGGTTAGCAGTAATATTTTTGTCTGTAGCTAGAATAACTTGAAATGCTAGATCAATTCGCTAACCTACCACACTAATCATAGCACTGATTTTTCTTGGAAGATCTATTTAAATACATTTCTTACCAGAATAATGTACAATGTAACGAGCCATTCGAGCTGTCTCATTTTTAGGAGGAGGATCTGGAGTATGTGATTTAACATTGGATGATTCATGATTCATATCCACTACTTGGATTCCCAAACTAGTGGTACCACACAAAAATAGAAGTCCAACAACTACGAACTTCAGACACATCGTACTTATTTCTGAAAAGAAATAAGAAAGCTTTGGCTATGAGTCAGTAAAATATGGCTTTGAAAAAAAATGTTGAATAAAGTTTTCAAAGTAAGACATGTGCTAAGTCAATTAAAAATACCTATAGTTACAAGAAAAATAAATACCACAAAAAAGAATAATAACCTGTGTTGTTCAGATAGATAAAATAATCTTGATTCTAGGCTAAATCTAAACCACAAGCAAGATGGTAAAACAATGACTACTTATAAATCTTTGAGGTTTGGATTTACATAATCTCAATTCCAAATTCCTTGAAATGAAGTTTGAAACCCACCTTACAAAGTGAATGAAAGTTTAGTCTCAAAAATGAAATAACTAAACGTCAAGATTTATTAATAGAGAGTGTTGGGAAGAAGGATTTTCATTTCATTTCATTTCTTACTATTGGGAGGCTGCACTTTAGATTTGTTTACTTTGAGTCATGTAAAAAATGTTACTTACCTACCTATGGGCCTCGGGCCAAATTAGATCAATTCAAAATCAGTTTGCTTTGATTATTACACAACTGTTGATTATTATATAATGTTGATTTACGAGCCAAGCAGAGCCTGGCCTACAAGCTTGAGAGATCAAGCACAAAGTCAGAAAATCAAGCTTGTGCCAATTTTCTCAGTACTCAATACAATTATGCCCAATTAAAAATAAAAGCTTTCATGTCCGCGAGGATCACGCTCATGAAATTGAAAAATTAGGCCTAAGCTTTTGCCTCGATCACAGATAGGCCTATTGATGAGAGCATTTCCCCGCGGGCGACGATGACGATGTCTCTGCGGTCGCAGGAGTTGTTCAGAATTTTGCCGCGATTGCGGAAGATGATAATGATGTTTCTTTTTCCGCAAGAGATATCTGCCTAGGCTATCTGTGATTTTGCCGTAATTGCGGACAATTTTTTTCCTCGTCACCACGGGTCACGGGAGATATAAGGGATTGGGCCGTGAATGCAGGAGACGATGATGATGTCATAGGTTTGGTTGCAATCACGGCAGACTATGATAGGCCTAATGTTTCATCCATGACTACGGGAAGTGTTCACGATTTTGCTGCGATCAGCGATCATGGAAGACTGTACTGAGCCGGCCCGAAGTAAGAAAATCCCCTTCTACCAACATCAAGTACTGCCTTTGGTATTTCAAGCTTATGTCAAGCAACAAATCCTGTTGTTCGTACAGTTAATGGTGGAGAGAGGTACTCAGTCACAGCCAATCGTCTGTGGTAGGCCTACAGCCTAAGAGTATGAATATTCATATTCATATTCAAACATCTTTATTCGTAAATCATGTACATTGGTGGTACAGTGAATAGTGTCAGAATACTTAAAATAAAAATACTATTTCTATTTATGGGAGGTGGAAAATTCATCAAAAGAATATAATGCTAGATTTATTAAATGCTCCTTTAGAATTTTCTTGAATTTAGATAGGTTCGTTTCTTTTTTTATGAATTCAGGGACAAATTTTAGAAAATCATTACCAGCATATGAGGGTTTTTTTTCAAAAAATTTTAATTTGTGAGGCTGGACAAACTCCCTTCTCCTCCTAAAATTATAAGAATGCACTGAATTTATTACTTGCTCAGATTCTTTTTTTTTGCGATAAGAATTGTTTCATAAATATATTGCCCATAAACTGTAAAAATTTGTAATTTCTTAAAATGTTCTTTTGCCGAATCATCTCGTTTAAGCTTAAGCATAATTCTGATAGGTAGCTTCTTTTTGTCGCTTCAGAATACTATCCATATTTAATATTTTTGTTGACCCATATAATGCTAAACCGAATGAAATATGGGAGTGAATGTGTGCAAAATATATACTTTTTAGGGTTTTCAAATTACAATAAAAGGACATTTTTGATAATGCGAACATTCCAGAGTTAGTTTTGGTTAAAACTTTCTGTGTGTGCTTATCCCAATTCAAATTTTCATCTATTGTTAATCCCAGAAAATTGATTTGATGTTCCTTTTGAATATTATTTGAGTTGTAAGTTATTGTTGGATCTTTTGTAATTCTGTTCTGTGCTGTTCTGAAATTTATAAATTTAGTTTTTTGTGAATTTAATAATAAGTTATGATTGTAGAAATAGTTCCCAATATTCTCTAATTCTACATATGTAAGAATTTCAGCTTCTTCTGGAGAGTTAGATGATACAATCAAATTAGAATCATCAGCGTAAAGACATAATTTAGAATTTTGCTTGTAGGTTAAAGTATCTTCCATGCCCTTAAGGTAACACAAAAATAGCAAAGGCCCCAAAATTGAACCTTGTGGCACCCCAAATTTAATTGGTTGATAAGTTGATGATGGTTTGATAATTCTATTATGATTTGTCAAATGGGTAATTTCCACGAATTGAGATCTATTTGTCAAATAGGAAGAAAACCAATTAAGAGCTCTTTTTGATATTCCAATTATTTTAAGTTTTTCTAGTAATTTACTATGTTTTACACTATCAAACGCTTTAGAAAGGTCCATAAATATGCCAATTGTATAATGTCCTTTGTCTACTGATTCAATGACTGATTCGATAAAAGAAACAGCTGCGCTTACAACTGATCTTCCATTCCAAAATCCATGCTGATTATCATCCAAAATATTAAATTTTTCCAAGAACTCGGATAATTGTAAGTATACGGCTTTTTCATACACTTTAGAAATTGAAGGAAGAACAGACACTGGGCGATAATTGGCTATAATTTCAGGGTCATTTTTTTTGTGTAAAGGAATTATTTTTGCCTGCTTTAATATGTTAGGAAAAATGCCTGAAACAAACGAAGAATTGATCAGATGACAAACAATTTTGCTGATGTAGGTTTTTGCAGCCTTTATTATTGTTACAGGAATTTCGTCATGCCCACTGGAGTGTTTATTTTTTAAAGATTGAATTATTTTTTCCACCTCCCTTTCAGTGATCGGTTTCAGTTCAAATTTTGGCTTTACAAACAAGTCATCAATAAAATCAGCTTTCACATCAGCCGTCACATTCTGTATGTTACGATTTAAATTTAAATCTAAATCTGTAACCATGTTGCTAAAATAACCATTAAACATATTTGCAATTTTACCAGGGTCTAAAATTGTTTCTGAATTTTGTTTTAAAATTATATTTTCTAATGGTTTCTTGTCATTTTCCCCAACTTCAGAGTTGATTATATTCCAGACGGTTTTCTGAATGTTTTGGGAATTTCCAATTTTTTGTTGGAAATATCTGTGTTTAGCCTTGACTATGAGTATTTTTGTTTTGTGTTCTAGTTGTAGTGAAGTAAAATTACGTCACTATGCCTATTGCGGATGACAGAACCAGAGTGAGTTAATAAAGTTCAAAAGTTGTTACTTCCAATTGCTTGTCTTGTGGTTGAAAACAATCAGCGGTAGGCTTAGTTAATCCCAACGATCACATAAGACCAATAGATGGAGCATGTTGGCCGTGGCTTGAAGCCAGTATTTTTCACCAATCTTCACTAAGATGGCGGCTGCTGGCTGTGATGAGCCCTAATAGCGGGTAACACAATGACCTTCAATATGCTTTTAATTTGTTTTCTAGCGTTAACCGTTTCTTAGAAAAAGTTAGTTTGAATAATTAACAACAAAAACTTTTTGGGGGAAAAAACAATTCTGAAAAGCTACGGTAGGCTACAAATTAATTTATAATATAAGTATCTATATCGTATTAAAGTTTGATAAAGTTCTGGCGTTTGGTTTACAATGTACCTACAAATTTTCACAAGATAAGTAGTTTCTGAAACTCTTTAGCCTAGGCTATAATACAACTCTCCTTTATATTCTGACTGGCATATGAATTTTTGTGAAAGAGCTAAAAAATATTAATTTTTATATGAATGCAAAAAATAAAACGAAGAACATATGTAGCCTACTCCGTGTTTTTCTAATTATTTTAGTATCTTTTCTGTAGGCCTATAGGCTTAGCTCCAAACTTGAGTATCTAAACTGTATTACGGCTGGGTAGCTGAGTGGTTATAGTGCTCGCCTAGTAATCAATAGGTCGCCGGTTCGATCCTGAGAAAAGTCAGTAGCTTTTTGATGGTTCGAAACTGGACCCAGCTGTTCCTGATCATTGGGCTTTAAATAAATGGTCCTGACTAATGAAACCGCTGATCTTAGTCAGTAACAAAGCTACACAGGTCATCATCTCAATGATTGATAAAAATAATTGAAGTGAGGTTGTAGGCAGAATCTGCCCGCATGACGCAACGCGGCGCGGCGGGTAGCCCCTATATTACAATTTAAATTACAGCCAAACTGCACCAGCTAAAAATTAAAAAAATATGATCCAAAAAATTAAAGTCTAGCTACAAAATCCACCGTTTTTTAACTTAAACTTACCTACCTGACCAAAAAATAAAAAAAAGTTAGCAGCCGACGAACTTTTTCATGTCATATTTTAAAACTCATTTAAAAGTACCAACTTTATTTGAAGATTTAAAAAAAGAAAATATTAACTTTTAAGCTTTTAATTGGAACCAATAGGCTAGTGCCCTAACTTAAGTACTTAGACGTTTATTGATATCATTCATACGAAGTTTCAACGATTTACCTTTAGTCTAAGTAGGCTTAATGTCGAGTTATTTTGAAGCGGAACATTGAGTTTTGGTGCTGTTTTCATCAACATCTAGCGCTTCTAACCTACAGTAAGATGGAGGACCTGGCTTCACCTGCTTTAAGTAAGTTAATGTTAGTTAGATAGGCGTGCTCCATCTATTGGTCTTATATGATCGTTGGTTAACCCACAGTTAATTGAATGTCACTCATCCTACCTTGTTTATTGTAATGTTGTATATTTTTACGGTGATATCTTGAGAAATATTCATCAATGTTATCCTTCCTATCTTGTTTATTGTAATGTTGTACCCCAATATCTTTAGAAATATTCATTAGCAGTGAATAATAATGGTATATTTAGGGATTCAGGAGATAAAAACTGTAAAGTAAGATAGGCCTAACCAACCTAGGCTATCAAAATTAAAAATTCGTTTGAAGGCACCTATAGAACCGGTAAATAAATATCACGAATTGGTATTCATCTTTGATCTATTTGATATAGATATTCTCAGTAACTACAAACATTACTTAGGCCGACCTTATCTTTATAACTTAAATGTAGGCCTAGTCTAAGACTCTAAAGTAAGAACCTCAGGCTAGAGTGCCAGAATAATTGTTTTGCCTGATTTGTAAATTCCCGTAGTAAGAAATTACAAATATTTACCAAGATTGTACTTACTTATAGTTTCAAGTATGTTTCTTACTATTTTACACTTAACTGTTACAATTATTTCATATTGCCACAAGAATAGGTAGTCAGGTTAAGTTTAGATGATAAGGAAAGGATTTAAGGAGAGTGTTATTGTTATTTATTTGTATGACATTGATATGATAACTTTCAGTATTCTTTCTTTCTCTCTTGTTCGCTTGTAAAAAGCTGGCTTGGTTGAACTACCATGTAGCCACATTATTTGAACTTGCGTCATTAGGCACGGCCGAGCCGCCTTCAGGCCACGCCCTTCGAAGTGGCAGCGTCGCAAGTAGTGTTGTAACAGCAGTTCTGTTTAGAAGCAGCTAATAGTATTTGTGTATTTACGAAAGATTGGTTACTGGACTATGACAATATTGACTCCACTTTAAATGTACAGATATAGATTTTTTTATTTCATATTGTTTCGGTTTTCAATTCTGTATGTTTAATTTTCAATATTTTAATAAATTTATGTTCATAGATTTAAATTTAAATCAATAAAGTGAGAATTAATGAGCTGATGTCACCTGTCTGCCATGATATCTTATGGGACGTCTGTCACTAAACAAAACCACTTGCGATGTTGCCAATTCTACCAGGCCGCGGCCTGGAGTTAGAGGGTGCCATGCATTAGGTCACAGGATAATATTTGTCTCTTGCTTTCTTGAGGGGTTTAATTTAATTTGGCTACGTAAATGTCTTCTCGATCACAATTTGGTTGATTTGATAAGGATCAGACGTTTTACAGGTTGAATTGATTGTTTACAAATTTGGATTTAAATTTCTTTAAAAATTTAAGTAATGGTGGCCATAGGTTGGTGTTTTTTTTTCATGTGGAGGGATTGGTGGTGATTTCTAAAAAGTGATACCCTCATTGGTAGACATCATCATTGACTCCCGCGGCCACGGAAACGTCATCGGCGTCGTCTGTGATGATCGCGTCAAAATCATGAAAATACCCAACTTTCATATCAAAATAAAGACTAAATCCCGACTTTTCAAGGCCGATTCGAAATTCAATACTATTTCCCGACTTGCCCGTTTTTTCCCGACTACTAGACACCATATAAAAATAATAAATTTGAGTTGGTAAATTATTTTACGCCACACTACACTGTTTTGAGGAACTTCCCACACAAGGATTGGATTTAGTCCAGAACAGAAAACAGCTGTTTGCTGTTAAGTTTTACCGGATACCTACCAGTTGATTATACAGGATGGCTGAAAAGTAACTTGCACCCCCCTTAACTTTTAAACCATTTGAGATATTTGAAATCGGTTTGTGGCAACCTTCTTAGATATGAGGGGCTACAATAATTATGGTCAATTTTGAAAATTTTGCCCTTTAGGGGTAGCGGGGGTAGGGGGTAGCTCAAAATTTTCAAATGACAAGTATAGTTGAGTTTGGTATCATTTTACAGGTCTTGACGAAACATAAACATTGACATAAAGAAAACCTAAATCGGCTCACTAATAACAAAATGGCGCCCTAAAACGTTTCAAATCCAAATTTTATTTATTTGTTTTATTTATTTGTTTACGGTATAACACCATTTTTACAGGGTTGACATAACAGGGTTGACATGCTGATCAGATACAATATTGAAAGATCCTAATTAAATTTTCTTCCCTTCTGCCTTTTCTCATGCTCTTTTACTTTTTTTTGTTTTTTTTTTGCAGGATTTATTAAAAGGCAGATAGGGACTAACATCACATGCTAATGGAAAAAAAACTGGTTGAATAGCAAGCATAACAATGGATAGAATTAGGTAACAATAACAATCGATAAATACTACAAGAAAACATGCGACTAGATAACAGAAAGATAATACATACATCAATTCAATACTAACATCACATGCTAATAGAAAAAGAAAAACTGGTTGAATAGCAAGCATAACAAAGGATAGAATTAGGTAACAATAACAATCGATAAATACTACAAGAAAACATGCGACTAGATAACAGAAAGATAATACATACATCAATTCAGTACTAACATCACATGCTAATAGAAAAGAAAAACTAGTTGAATAGCAAGCATAACAATAAATAGAAATTTGGAAACAATAACAGTCGATAAAATACTACAAGAAAACATGCAACTAGATAACAAGAGAGATAAAACTACATCAATAGTACAAGCAATATCAATAAACTAGTGACAGACGGCAATAATGACTAGGGAGCATTGATAAGGAAGCATTGACAGAGAATTAAATTATTACACAAGACCTGTACAATTAAATCACAGCAGAACGAGATTACTGTTCCTCAAGAACCGAAGACGCAATCCTCTTGACAACCCGTGGACAGCAGTCAAAGAAGTCCACATAATGATAGAGCCGATTGCCGAGTCGATGCAGTCTAGGCAGAGGGCTATAAAGTTCATAGTTCGTGGAGCAGTGTTGGCGAGCAAACAGCACATTGGAACGAGTGGATCTAGGTGGGGAAACATGCAGGTCAATCAGCGCAAGCAGATCAGGACAGTTGATTCGTCCATTTAGTATCTTGAACAGGAACATGGCATCACTGATTTCCCTCCTCTTGGCCAGGGTATCAAGTCCAAGAAACCTTCTGATGTCCTGGGTAGGTACATCCCGGTACATGTAACCCATCCTACACCCAATAAGACGTAGAAATCGGCACTGGACACTCTCCAGACGATCAATGTAGCACTGTTGGTGGGGTGACCATATAGAGCTACAATATTCAAGTCTTGACCTCACCAAAGAAATGTACAGTGTGCGAAGCGCCTCTATACTCAGACCACATCTAGAGGATCTCATGATGAGTCCCAATATCCTGGTGGCCTTAGAATAAATTTCCTCAATATGGCGTGAGAAACTCAGATCCGCAGACAGTACAACACCCAGATCTCGAATGTTGTCACTTCTAGCGAGGGGCAGGTTGCTTAGGCAGTAATTATAATCCACAGGCCTTCTAGCTCTACTATATGTAACCACCACACACTTTTTAACGTTGAGCCTCATGCAGTTATCGGTGCACCAATCTTCAACACGCCGAAGACATTGCTGAAGTCGAAGGCAGTCCTCACTAGAGCGAACAGTTCTAAAAATCTTCAAGTCGTCTGCGAACAGGAGACAGTTGCAGTCAAGTACATCCACAACATCATTGACGAACAGGGAGAATAGAAGCGGTCCAAGATGAGAGCCCTGTGGCACTCCAATATGTGCACAATAACCTTTAACAATAACCTTGAGGGTGGCAAAAATATTAACTTGCACCCTCTTTAACTTTTTAACTAGGTATTTGAGATATTTGAAATCGGTTTACGGCAACTTGTTTGGAAATGCAGTGCTACATTTTATCATTTTACAGGTCTTTACGAAACATAACAAATAACATAAAGAAAATAGAAATCGGACCATTAATAACAAAATGGCAGCTAAAAATGATTGAGACAATGGTTATTTAAAGTAGTTTTGAAGTGCCATTTTGTTATCAATAATGGTCCAATTTCTATTTTCTTTATGTTAATTGTTATGTTTCGTCAAGACCTACAAAATGATACCAAACTCGACTATACTTGCTATTTGAAAATTTTGAGCTACCCCCTACCCCCGCCACCCCTAAGGGCCAAATTTTCAAAATTGACCATAATTATTGTAGCCCCTCATATCTAAGAAGGTTGCCGCAAACCGATTTCAAATATCTCAAATGGTTGAAAAGTTAAGTGGGGGTGCAAGTTACTTTTCAGCCACCCTGTATAATGTATTAGTCATATTTTATTTTAGCCCAAAAAGGGGACACATTTAACACTGTATAATATTGGTACCTAAATGGTTTTGTTGATAAATTAATCCAGTTTTACCAGACATCCCTCACACTTAACAACCTAAATGTGTTCTAAAATGATGCTAAACAATGTCAGCACAGTATCGTTGTGTAGGAGTCTAGAATATGCTAATTCAAATCTGGACGCTCAGCAGAGTTTTATTTTTCTATTTTTTCTAGAGGCTCAAAATATTACCATATATTCCTTTAGGCCTACATATATCAAAATATTACCATATATTCCTTAAGGCCTACATATACTAGGGTTGCTTTCAGAGAGGTGAAAGCCAGTTGAGCGGAACAAACGTGATTTGATATTTGTATAAGTAACTAAATGTAAAAAGGTCAATAGATTTATTTACTAATGCTGGTTTTAAAGATTAAAATTATAATAACTCAAATTTACCTCTTCGAGAAGTGCATTATGGCAGTTTTGACCAGGAAAATATTACAGTAGTTGGAATCTGATATTAACATCCAAAAAGTAAAGTATAAAAATGAGAAAGGTAATTTAACATTCAAATGCAACGGCTACATTTTTCACCCTTACAATCGGTTAAAGTATTTAAGTATAAAAAAAACAGTAACTATAAAAAAACGAGTATTAAAGTATAACAACAGGAGGGGAAATTTGACATTTAAATTCAACCGTGCAACATAAAATGGCTGGAATGTAGGCCTAAACATAAGTAGACTAAACTTATGTTTAATTAAAATGGAATTTAATTAAACATAAGTTATAAGTAAAATCGCATTCAGCTGATTTAAGTGAAAACAGAATAATATAATAAGTAGGGAAGACATGCCTTAAATATACAATGTAGATAATATAATTAGAAATTAGTAGCCTACTTCTGGACAGGCCTAGACAATTATCCATACCGTGGTTAAAAGGGGTGAGGTTCATAACTCCAAGTTTTCATAACTCCAAGTACTTTTAAATACAACATTTCATAACTCCAAGTAAAATTATGTCCAAGTAAATTAAAACCAAAATATCATAAGACCAAGTTTCATAACTCCAAGCGTTCATAACTCCAAGATTCATAAGTCCAAGTTAAAATAAAACCAAGTAAATTAAAATACAAAATTTTATAACTCCAAACGTACAGATTTGCAAGGACCACAAGTCCAAGTTTCAAAACTCCAAGGGTTCATAACACCAAGTTTCATAACTCCAAGTGACAATGGGTACAGTCTGTGCAGGAAGCGATAACGTACGCGCACACACGCACCCATTACACACGCACATGCTGGAAGAGAGTTTCCGATGTTGGCGAGAT